CGCCAGCAAGACCGTCACGCGTGTCAGCTACGACTACACCAAGCATGCGTCGACATTAGAGAGCAGGGTACCGACTACGCGTGGCAGAATTGCCTCTCCGCGCGTGGGGAGAAAGCCGAAGGCGAAACGACACCGCGCCTGGAGAAGGGTGGCGGCAGCGACATCGGCGCCAATTCCGATCACAAGGCAGAGCTCCGTTCGGTAATCGAGACAGGCATCGTCATTATACACAAGCCTTCCCAATGGGACACGCAACCGGGCGTCTCTTTTCGCGAGATCAATAGCCCGAGGACTTTGCCGTCCACCCACACACGCCCCTGCTGAGGGCTGACAAAGGAGGCCCCCAGGAGAGGTAACAGGCTGCCCTGGGACATTAGTCTCCTCAAAGGCAAGTCCTGACTTGCGTCTTTTGGCGAACAGACTCGGCGAAGCTGCGATCCTTTCGAGACCTCAGCGAAACAGTGAAGAAGGCGGTCTACATTCAGAGTTCGCATAACGACGCGAATGCCCGGTCAGAATCGAGGGAAATAGAGACAAATATGGGGCGTTACTTTGGTCTCATGTTCCCTGGCGAGGTTGGCATCTCCCTCAGAAGTGAATACGTGAGGTGTTGGCAGTTCAAGGAAATGGGCACGTAGGACGGGCGCTTTTGTGTATGCATCTTTTCCACCGGTCATGTTTCCCTCCTGCATGGGACGTTGTCCTCTCGATCATCCTGGCCAAGGCAAGCAGGATTCGTCGGGCATGTGCGTTCTCGAGAGCACCCTCAATTGATGTTCTTCCATCGTCCGAGCCGTTGCGCTCCATTGTCCTCCTGATGCCTAGATTGCATTCGTTCCAACGAGCCGTCTGCCAAGGCATTGGGCTAATGCGTGCAGAGAACGTCGGCACCAAAGATTAGATGACCTTGGCGTGGACGAAAAGGAAGTCGACGCAGATTCTCAGGCGGTCACCCACGTATTTCAGGCCAGAAGAACAGCTACCAAGACACTTTTGCAGGCTCTACTTGAGGACGGGGCGGCGTAACCTTGAACTTTGTGCAAGTTTTGGAGCGGCGCCGCAGCGGGCGCTAAGGTACCAACTGACAATCTGGCCGCTGGAATCGGCAGTTGGTCGCTCAAGGTAAGGTCGTGGTTGGGACCTGGAGGAAACGGCCAGGCGCCACCTCCCCAAGTTGGGTGTCAGGTCACTGGCTGGCCGTCATTGGCTCGTCAAGGTCCGTACCATCTTCCCAGGATGGTACAGCCTTCTGATTGGCAGCCCATCTGGCGAGTTCGTGGCAGGTGCATTGACATTGGGAAAGGACCCACTGCGGTAGGGACATTTTCCTGGGGTGAAGAAAGAACCCTTGTGAAGGACCAGGCCAGAGCCTGCCCGCTTCTTCAACAGGTGCCTGCCTACCCTTTGATTTCAATCTGTCGCGTTCGCGTTTTACCATGAGAACCTCTCGGTGCGCGTCGCGTCTCCTCTCCTCCATTCGAACATCTGGGTGCCAAAACGATGGGCTGAACCCAGCATCGCCTCTTCGCTTCCAACCACAACATGCCTGAGCAAGCAAGAAAGCCTTCACGCGAACACCAAATTCAAGCGAACGTTCCAATAGCCATGTCTCTCCTGCCCTCGGTGTCCCTGAAGGTTCTAACCGGCTGACTGGTTTTCGGAGCAGGTTTCTGACGCTGTCACCGACCCCGATACCGTCTTCCGAAGTCCCATTTTCCGTCTCCTCCATCCTCCCGAACCGTCCCGACAACGTCGACCAAGACCTGCAACGAGATCGAAGAGCAAACGCGACCCCTCCTCCCCGTCGCCTTCGCAAACATCCTGGCTATCTGCGTCGCCATGAACCATGACTTGTCGATGCATATCATCCGCCATGCGCATGTGCGCCTCGAAAGACTGTCCCGTTCCGTCTGCCATCCCTCTCTTCGTCGCCGCCACCGCCGCGGGGTCCCGCAGTCTTGCCATCACCCTCCTCCTCCTCCGATGCCTTCCCGATTTTGTTCGTCGTCCCACCGATACCATCCTTGCCAGGATCCTCTGCCACCCGCAATCGAATCCAATATTGTCATCTGTGTCGGGAATTCCATTGTCCAAGTCGTGCCGCTCGTCGCCGGCAAAGTCTGCAGCTCAAGCTGAGCACCAAGTGTTCCAGACTCCCAGTAACTGCGAATCCACTGCCGAGGCTTCCATGCTCATTTCTCCTGTGACCAGCTTGTACTCCATGTCGTTGCCGCAAAGGGAAGTCCTGGCGCAATGCGTGATTTGTAACTTTTGACGAAGCTGCAACGGCTGCTGATGAGGACGGCATGCAGCCGGGGATTTGGAAGTCGTTTGCGCCGTGGCCGTTGCTGGCCAGAGAGCAAATGGCCTGTCAATTCCCGTGAGCAAAGTAGAGCCCAACGTGGGTCGAATGTGAAGTCATCACGGAGCAAAAGGACTTGCGGCGGAGAGAAGCTGAAGAGTCGCCGCTCAGCGACACCCACGACTTTTGCGTGCCTGACTGACGTCCCCGCCTTGGTCCAGTAGAGTCTTCAACCTCGCGCGTCCGACGTTTAATGTCCATGATCTTCATTCTGAGCAGCAGCACTAAAGCACGAGCTAAGCCATCATTTCTCCTCGACCGACCGCAAAAAGGTCTTGACAGACTGGCCTCAGCGACAATGTAACATCAAACCAAAAAGCAAAAGCATTAAGCCTTGCTTCACCCGCTACAGTCGCATGGAGAATAAGGCCCCCCCTACCGGGGCGAGAGTGCAACGCCTCCCATGGACAGCTCTTCCGAGACTATGTGTAGCAGGTGTGAGCAAGGCGGAGCATTACACCTGTCAAAAACAGGTGGACAACCCTATTCCCAGCACCTGGTAAGGGGTTACTGGGCCTTCCATACTACACAGAGGCATCCATCAGGCAACTCGAACGTGAGCGCTTTAGAGAGGTTCGCATGTGCAGGTCAGCTTTGTCACACACATGACCGTTAAGTCATGCGGCTGCTGGTAGTGACGGGAAGGGGACGCAGCTTGGTCAAGAAGGTCGGTGGGGGCACAGAGGCAGGTGAGTGCGGGAAGGGAGCACGGGTGAGGAAGGAAGGAAGGAAGGAGCGGGAGGGTGAAAGGAAGGAACGATGCATTACACAGGGGAAAGACCCAACGGGGGACGAGAAGCAAGCATGAATATGTGGGGGAGGTCTCAGCGGGAACACTGAAGAGGAAGAAAAGCAAACGCAGAGGGCAACAAAGGAAAGGACCAACCGCATTCCATGCATTGAGAGTGACCCCATTTCGGCAGGTAGAGCGTATATAGCTGGGACTTGGAAAGGGGACGCAGCCGGTTTCATATGCCGAACTCTAGCCGTGAAGATCGAGAACAGCCTTCAGGCGACAGGGAAGTCTTCATGTTTTCGCAGATGGGTTGACGTGGACATGGGAGAAGGTGCTCCGTTAGTCACAGTCGCAGTTCTATCCCGCCTGAGGCGATTGCATCGGCTTTGCTGGCCGGCCTTGATGTGATCAACCACGACGCAAATTTGACGGGCGATTTACGCGGAGTGAATCCACGTTTTGTCAAGAAATCCTTTTCCTCATTGATTTGCAAGTTGCGGGGCATCTAACCTCACAGTAAATGGACACCGAATCGGCCGAATAGTGCGGGGCCGAATGTGGGGCCGACCGCAACGGGGCGGGGGCTGCTCGACTTTTCTTTCCAGGCATCGCCAGCTCGCTATCAGTAGATTTTCTCTACTGCAATTTAATCTTCGAGCTTTAGTTAAGACTTTTAGAGGGTAGGGTAGAGCAAGATTTGCAGATAGAGGTAGATGCAAAGAAATGCGAGTTGCCTTTGAGAATCCTAACCTGCAGAGAATCCGACCTATGTAAAGAATCCGACCTATGTAAAGAATCCGACCTATAGAGAATTCGCCCTGTTAGAAATTCGACCTAGAAGAAATCGACTTACAGGGGAAACCCGACCTGTGAAAAACCCGTCCTACGAAGAATCCGTCCTACGAAGAATCCGTCTTACGAAGAATCCGTCCTACGAAGAGTCCGACCTACGGGAAACCCGACTCGTTAAGAGTTCAACCTTCGATCTGTAAGAAACCCAAAACACACCGATCATTTCATAGATAAACCAGCACTACGTTGTACACATGTATCCTAAGACTGAAAAAGTTCATATTCATGTTGTCTACATAGCCTAGTCGCCCCTGAAATCAGAAACATTTCCTTTGCTACAACCCAGGCATCCGCCGCCCCAAACATCGCTCTTGGTAGCAATGTCCTGAATGATCAGTGTAGCCAGAGCCACTCGGAACTCCGGTTGTTTGTTGTTTACTGTTGTCTGTCTGTCTCTCTGTAGAGCTCGCCCGCCCGGGCTGGAACGCACACAGCCGACTCTCAATCCTTCTCTCGGTCTCACAGCAAGTCATATCAAGACGGGTGTCACTTGAAGTGAGACCAGAAAGCTTCTACAGTATCTTCGGCTTCTTGGTGGACTCACATGCTTCCGGAGATCCATGAGGTGGCGAGAATGAAAGGAGAGCGCCGTTGTCTCCAGCCGTTCGGAAAAAGACGATTGCGTGAGCTATCAACAACACAGCTTGAACTCGGTCCTTTTTCTAGCACCAATGCCACGAAGAACCACCCACAGCTTCATGACGCATCTTTATTTAGGACTATTGTCGAGATGGAGCCGGTAAGAATGATGCCCCTAGTGACAAGAGTAGCATCATCGTCAAAATGGGGTCGCAGGTCTTTGGAAAAAGATGCGTCGACGAACACGCCCTGTGGCTGTAGCTGGATCATGGGCGATACGTCCCAGGAGCTGAGACCGGGTGCCCAACGGCGTATTCACCGCTTTGCGTATGCAGCGCCCGGGCACTCTTCCTAGGGGAGACAGCAAACCCAGCAGGCACGTTGTCTAGCATGGCCATCCTCTCTTGACGGATGCAAGACAGTAGGCCGCCTCCGGCAGCGTGAATGTACTCCAAAGGCTTGGCCATTCCTTCAACCAGTCGAATCAGGTGTCGCAGGAGGTGTGGGAGTAGACAAGATGCGTTGGAAAGACGGCCAATACTCGTCTGTGATCCAGCGAGAGAGGTACTGCAAACAGCAAACAATCGAGTAGACGCCGATGGCGTGCTGCGTGGAGCCAAGAAAAAGCTCCGACCACAGAACCTGGCATCGTCAGCTCATCGCATCTAAACCGGGAAGAAGCGAGGAGAACCTACCGTTTTTTTCTCCTTATTCGGACAAGCCAGGAAGTACCACTTGTGACCTTCAATGATGATGGCGGGGAGGAAATCGGGCAGAGGGCGGGGAGTGTCGCCGCGGCTCGCTAGCCGGCGCAGTAGGCGCCACTGGGCCTCAAGCCAGATAAGAAGCTGAGCCTGGGCATCGTTGATCCCCGAGCCCTCCACCTTGCTTTCGATGCTCAAGACGATGGGGCGACGGCGGAATGGGGTATAATCGGTGTGGTTGATAGACGCGCTGAACAGGTCGTCCTCGTGCTGGATCGCGGTGATGGCCTGAGCCGCCTGCGGGCCAGGCTCCATCACGAAGCAGAAGTCGACCTTTCGGGCGGGGCCGCGAGAATCGATGTATGTGTCGAGGATCTTAGCCGTCGCACTAAGAGAGATGGTTAGCTGGGCATACAGGCAGGATTGCAAGAGGCATCGACAGGTGGGCTTGACGTACCAAGGCAAAAAAAAGACGTTATCCTGCTTTGCGCTCATCATGGGCAAGGCAAGCTGGAGAATGTGCTGGTGCAGGCACGAATTCCATGAAGCCTCGTCGTACTTCTCATTTGCGCATGTCTTTGCGGCGTCGAGCATACTCGTGACTTGTGCGACGGTCGGCGAAGGCCCTAGCTGGTCCCTCGTGGAGTTCTCGTCAAAGAACCAGTCTCCATCTATCGAGTCGAACCGCGCTGACGTCTCTTTGGCTTGTGCGATTTCGTCCTTTTTGGACCTGGAGATGATACCTTTCCCGAGACCAAACGAGGACAAAGCCGTCCATACACGTCGCAGGGAGGGCGGAATGTCGGGCTCATCGGGGTCGTATTGTTGGACGAGGACGGGCCAGGGCTTGTTCTGTCGGTTGGCAATTTGTTTCGTAGGGGAGACGCGCGAGGCGCTGCTGGCTTTGCTGGCTCTGCTGGCCTGGGAGGGTGTTCGGGCGGGCAGGTTAGGACGTTGGCTCTTGCCCGCGCGTGGGGTGTCCACATTGTCGGTTGTATGGCTGTGCGATGAAGAGGCGAGGGATGATGACTGCGATTCTCGTCGTCGTTTGGTTGGCGACGACATCTCGATCGAAGACGAGGGCGACCAAGGCCACCGACGCTTGAGCTTGTTGTCGGCGGGCGCGGCTGATGAAGATTTGTTGTCGGTCGAGATAATGGGCTCGGGTGGACTGTCGGTGATGCAGTCAATCCACTCGATGATTCGACGGCGTTCGGGAGAGATTTCGTCAGTCATTGTCTTGTGAAGCATGTTCTGCAAGGCATGGTGATGGATGGCGGTGGTGGTGGTTGTGCGCGTGGTGGGGATGGAATTGTCGACACCCGCAATGTGCTGGCGACCGAGTAACCTTCGGTTGCGCGGGGTGACGGGATGACCAGCATGCCCATTGGTGCTTTGTTGTAGCACCCTGCACAGTTCTCCACTGCAGTGCGCTAACGTTCACAATGGAAGCACAGTTGGGCCATTGCCTCTTCAGCTGGCAGGGTCTCTGCTTATGTCAGCTCATCAAATAAATGGGCCATTGTATTGTGGTGGTACAACGACCCACTGTTTCCTCAGATACGCCGATAAGCCGATAAACCGATAAGCTGATAAGGGAGCCCGGTGGCAATGCCGTTGGTGGGGCGCCGCATTGACCGACATGTGAGCATCTCGCATTCGTCAAACTGCAGCCTGTTGACCTGTTTCCTATGCTACATCATATCAAGAAGCAAATTGAGACATTTTTGCCGTGTTTAGTCCAAAGCTTATCGTAATAATTTTGCATTGAGCAGTCAACAATCGGTGGGGACATTTCATAAAAATCATATTGCAGCGTCGAGAGCAGCAGTCACCTCATGAAGCGAAGCGAATTACACCAGCTGCCTCGTGACCATCCACCCGCTAATCGCCCAGGCTTGAATTGTCCAAATTGACTTTTCCCTATAAAATACGCGCCTTCTAACGAATAACTACGATTTCTTGGCGTTTTGAGCACTGCATCCCCGGTAGCAACATCAGAGTACTCTGGAACCAATCATTCATCGTTCAAGCGTCGCTATGACATGCTCCGACAATGACGATAAGTTGCAACAACTGAACATTCGGATTGCCGGTTGAATGCGCTTGACCGAAACCAACTCTGGTCTACCCTCGAACCGCAGGTAACAACTGCTGTGTCTCCAAAGAAATACCAGGTCTGAGAAAAAGGGCGCTTTTGCCGAACAGAACTACGACTGCAAAAATACGAGGTCATGTTTGGATGGTGGCCGTGCCTCTTTTCGAGAGCATGGGGTAGGGACAATCCAAATAATGAATATGAAGTGGCAAGCCAGAGCGCGGCCACATCCGTCACGCCACAGGGCACCAAATCGCTAGTTGCGATCAGAACTCTGTGTGATGCTTGAACAGCGGATGATTCCTTACCTCGAACCAAGCCGGATTCCGTTTGGAAGACCGATGAAGCTGGAAAGCGGGAAAGACATGAAGTCCGATGTTCAAAGTCATTCGGAATCTCTCTAATCCGAGCAGAGCATCAAACAACTTGTCAAGCCTTCAAAGACTTATTCAACAACCCCCAGTTGTGGCAAAGAACAAGACTAATTATCACACTAACAATTTTCTGGGATCATTACTCCTCCAACTTTTAAGTTGTCTCCGTCCCCACATCAATTTGAAGCTTCATTGGCTATGCCTTCCACAGATGGTGCGACCAAGTTCCTCCACGTGAACCCCCATCGCCGAACTGCTATCAACATTGGAATGGACGTGAGCCAGGTAGCTTCAAGTATTGTGAACGTCCACCCAATTCCAAGTGGATCTAGAAGAGGGTAAAGCAACAACGCCTACAGCCGCCGCTGTACAACGGGTCAAATTGACTGAGACACTGGCCAAGCCGGCTTGGGTAGGATGGATGTCGACAATCAGTGTCATGCTGATCTGAAGAATTTGATTAGACGACATTTGAAACACTTTGGATACGCGCTGCCATCTTCGACCTTCTGGCAAGGAGCCTTCAGACACAACGCGTGAATCCATATTTGGCACTCCGATAGCCATGAGAGGCTCATTCATGCCAGCCGCCGGAGTCCTTCCGGTGCCAACAATATTACGATATGTTTCGCGGAAGAATAGAATAGATGTGATCAAAAAAAACACCCCAATATAACTAGGACCCAGAAGATCCGGTGCCAGCCGGCTTTCTCGGCGAGAACGCCCCCGGCTACGGGTCCAAGACTTGGACCTGTATTTGGACTGTCCTCAATATTAATTGAATAGACTTTGTGTTCAACTGTACGAACCCTGTTTGCATAGCTCCTATGTAGTGACTACGATCATGGGGAGGAGCAAGATCAGCAACAACGATAGACCCTAGCGCGATGGTACCTGATCGCGAGTCAGGTGAGAAGCCATGTGCTGAAGAACAGAAAAAGGCTTTCATTGTTGCTCACCAGAGCTTCCAGCGCTCTGAAGCATTCGGAAAATCAATAGCAAAGGGTGCGACTCCTGCAATGCCAAGCCAATGCATGATCCTGCATAGATGACCAAAATGAACCAGATACTCAGGCCTTCTATCCATTTAATCTGCCAAGTCACCAAAGAAGGCAGTGACGGTCAAGTTCATTAGCTGGAGGGATACTTTGAGATCTTCTGACATGTACTCGATGGCCGGGAAGTATGTGAAAGCGCCGAACGGAGAGAAGAATCCTACGAGAGCGCAGGACAGGGCGATATATTGTCACTGATTTAGCTCAAATACACTATACGGGACTGCGTTTAGTGGTGATATAGGGTTCGAAACCTTTTGGCTAGGGTTGCTCTGAGGCTTTTCCGACCTTGGTATCATATTTCCTGACGATTCTTGCGAAGTCCTGTTCCAGGTGGTATTCAAGGTAAACTTCGAGACCTCGGTGAGCATGAACCTCAATCTCCGACACAGTTGAGAAAGAAGTGAGACACTGTCAATAATCTAATATCTAGGCGAACGGGAGTAAGACTGGGATTGTGACGAAAAATGGCAGGTAGGGCCAAACGTCCTGGTCATGTGCCCATATAAAGCGCCCAGGGATAGAACGCCTCGTCATATGTTGTGCAACAATTCAAACAGACACGAGAAGCAAAAGATCGTACTATCACAACTAGCTTGGGTGTGTAAAGCGGCTAAAGGAGCAGGCTGTGTGCTGGGTAACCCACGTATTTGTGGTTGTTTGGACAGACACCAACATCCGCGGAGGGAGCGAATCATTTTCTTTTCCCTTTTGTGTTGGCCAGACCGAGTCTTATAGCTAAAAGTAAAGTCTGACACAAATCGCCCAGCCTAAGTCTCCTCAAGTCAGACCGTTTCAGGTACCCCTTCTATGTCCACAGACATCGCCTTATCGAGGACATTCTGTTCCAGAGAAGCGACGCTCTCCAGGTAGTACTTATCATTCAAACAACAGGCATCTTCGTGAAACCACATCACGTTAGAGACTCAAACAAACATCATACATTTCAAGTCACTTATCCCGGGTTTGCACCGAAGATCCTGGCCAGTGGCTAGCGTGCGAAATGTCGAGCTTGATGCAGCAGGGCAGATTCCGGTCACCTCATTCTTCGGTCGATTCACTCGGAGGCATCCGCATCAACTACTGCCTGAAATACGGTTCACCGAATCGAATGATATCTCGTCGCCACATGCCCGATTCGTACTCGTTGTGTGCGTACCTGCAAGAAGCATCAAACAGATTGATATTACCCGTCTCGAGATTGATCCCAAGTTTCTCCTCCCATAAGTCCCCATGAACAAGACAAGGCTTGATCTGGCGCCCGTTGGACTGCAGAGCATCCAAAAGTCGAGGAACTACTTTGAATATCAAAGCACCGAAGGCTCACTCATACTCGGGCCATGAGCCGTTGGCCTTCATGTCCTCTTCGTAGAAGACCTCCATTAGAGCTGAGAAGCATTCTGTCCAGCTGGAGGTCCACTTGTTGAGTTGAAGGTTCTTGCCATGACAAGTCGGGATTTGGAATGAAAATTGCCAGTTGGAGACGAACCCTTGCGGTGCAGGTCCACGACTAGACATGTGAACTTTTCATGGTCCGGCAAGGTGATTTTAAGCTCCAGGAAGTCCATGATAAGGAAGTATGAGTCTGATGTCTTGAACTTGCCCTAGCCGCAGGGCTTGGGAGCGATTGAGAGAATTGCCGATGAGGGCTCAGAGAGCGAGTTGAACTCGCCTTCCATCATTCCTGCACCAAGGTAGGATTTGGCCTTAAAAAACTATGTCTTCACGGTGCCATCAGCCAGCTCAGTGGCGATCTTGGCTGTCTTGGTTTAGGCAGACGTGCCCCAGGTAACTGCATCCAATACTTTCGTGCCACTGGCCGGGAGTGAGATAACTTCAGTAAGATCTCAAAATCAAAATGCACAGTAGCTCAAATTAGAAGACAGCTTCGTCCACCGAAAAGTGTCCACCAACATCCGGCAAGCAAATGCTCACGGAGTCACATGGGGTTCATGATCTGTATTCGCTCCGGTCTTGGACACAAAAGGATAGTAGTAAGTGTCTATGATAGCGAAAAGACCAAACAAAGTTCCTGTAAAGATAGACGTTCCTTGGAAAGATAATTTACTTTGTCCACGAAGGCTCCACATTCAGCCCATACGATATCGGTACCGCTAGCTTGCTCACCACTTGTTGAAATGGTACTAGTGCTTGTTGTATCGCCACCAACCCATCATGTAAAAGCACATTGTATTGGGAGGTTGTGGCGCGTGAGAAGTTGCTTGCCCAGAAGTCTTGCTCATCACATCGCCCCTGTCATCATACCCTTCGGTATTAAGCCAGCCTTGAACGAGGCAGCCTGAACTTCACCGAGTTCATTACGTGGCCCTGCATTAGATGCCTGCCCTAGTAGAAAGACCACGGAAGCGGGATCTGAAAGTCAGCGCGGGGCCCGAAGGGAACTCTGCTCCATACGGTTGAGGCTGCGTAGTGTCAAGCAGGAATCTCGGGAGGAGATGTCTTTTTCTCACGTCAACTTCGCAATGCGCTCGTTTCACGCCAAATTTCGCATTTGTAACTTATGATGTGGACTTCCGCTCTTTTCCCCGTTAAGAACACCGCGGCGATTTTTGGAAGCCCACTGACCGTTAAATCTGGTACTGTCCTTGGCTCCTCGGACAGCGTCTAGATAAGATGGATAAAGGTTGTCACAAGCCTTGACATCCTTGTGACTTCGAATGCTGATGACTGCGGATCAGTTTCAAGGATAGAAGAGATCCCATAAAAGTCGAAAGAATCGAAGAATTCGTTGAAGTCGGAGGAATTGAGGAGATCCCCTTCAGTTTCATCTTCGAGTGACAGACCCGAACTCGCCAGCTCAGTATCGACCATCAGGCTGGGTGACATTGGCCTAAGGTAGGACAAAAACTTGGGACTACCGCATTGAGAACATCAAGCTAGCGAAACATGCTCAATTCATAACCCTACGTCAACTCCAGAACACCTTCAAATTAAGGGACGATGCCGGTCGGTCGATTGCTCCAGCAAACCACTCGGGCGCCATGTTTTCTACAGGCCGGATAAGCCCAAAGCTATCGGTGTTATTTTCGTGTACGGGCTGGGTGGCACCAGCTGTTTGACGTGGTCGTGGAACAGAGATCTGAACCGCTTCTGGCCGAAGGAATGGCGGCTTCCGCTGGAGCTGGGCTTCAAGGACGCGAGAATTCTATCCTTCGGATACAATGCGAACTTTTATGTCACAGACAGGAGAAATCTTCAATATTTCCGATCACGCCAAAGACTTACTACTCCAGATGAAATTTCGTTCTGATGAAAATAAACAATTGGAAATCGGCAAGGTTTGTGACCAGAATGTGACTGGGGAATAATCTAACAAGTAAAAAAGGTGCCTATAATCTTCTTTGTATACTCAATGGGCGGCCTTGTCTTTAAAAAAGTTCGTAAAGTTGATTATAGTTAACCTGAAGCCGAATGAAATGCGGATGCTGGAACGTCAGGCCTTCATTCTGAGTCGAAACGATCCCGAATATCAAGACATATTGAACCTTGTATATAGCGCCGTGCTTTTAGCAACACTTCATTGGGGAAGCAGCCTAGCGAGTGTTATATCCACCCTTTTGTCTGTCTCGTTCCACTCCCTGAAACAGTATGTTGTCGACCCGCAGAGGAATTCACCACCAATCATCAACATGAACGAACAATTTCGTCTGCATGCACAGAAACTTGAGATCGTGTCCTTTTTTGATACGCTTCAATGAAGTGTCAGGCCAAAGGAAATAACAAGAACATATTCTACAGCAAGACAAAGGGTACTCTTTTAGCTAATTACGGTTTAGATGATTATCGAAAGAGATTCTGCAGTGTTAGGATACCCGGGCGAAATATTTTCTCCGCTCAACGCGGTCCACCACACAATATGCAAACATCCGTCCCAACAAGATGCGAATTACATTAATGTTCAGAATGTCATTAGCTCATTCGTTAGCAAGTTTAAGTTGAAAGGTATCATATAAACTTATTCCTTAAAATCTGAAGAGGATGCTGACATAGCCACAGGCATCAGTCGTCAGTCCTCAACTAGCAAGACCCTCCTCTCTATAAGAAGTATACTAATTCAACTTATGAAACCTATAGGTTCATCAGAAGACCTAAAAGCTCTTTCACAACAATTTGCCCCAGGAGTTGCAACTAGATCTTATCCAAACCCAGATTCATCACCTAGGCAAGCGATTCATCCAACAATCCTTCTGTCCTCCACTTAATAGGTCTGCCCGGGTCCAGAAAGTCCATCTTAGCATCATTTCTTGTTCAGCACTTCGATAAGGCTGGAAGTCTTAATTAGCATTTCTTCTTGCGATTTGACGATCAAGCCAAGAAGTCGATCCATAATTACCTTCTATCAATTACCTTTCAGTTTATCTTTACAACTACTTACGCGCAGCAAATCACTTCACTCTTAGAAGACATAAACTCTATTACTCGTTCTGACATACAAACACCCTAGCAGAAAGCTTTTATTAGGATTATGCCTAAGCTCAGCAGTATAAAACCGCTATACTAGATTATTAACGCTATAGATGAATTCCAGTCGCACAGACTCTCCTAGCTCAGATCCTAAGTTTGCAGGGCTTAAGAATTCCTATTCGCGTCGTCCTGATCAGCAGACCATTCTCAGCTGCACGCTTATTTGAAAAGCTCAAGACCACCTTCTCAGATTCCTTTCATCAGGTTGCCATGAAGTTACCTAACTCTGCCCAGCAGCTTTACATTAAGCAAGAGTTCGAGAGCTCATACATGTGGGAAAGTACCTTCACCTCCGACGTCAAGAACACCTTGCTTAGCAAATGCAACAGAAATCTTCTACAGTTGCGACTGGTAGTCGACAGGCTACTTCTATGCAATACTGAAGACAAGTTTGACCGAGGCCTGAACGAGGCCCCATCTGACCTTACAGACTTATATGTTCGCATTGCCAAAAGCATCACAGAAGGCCTCAAGGAACCCGAGTATACTTGGCGAGAACAATTCTGTCATAGGCTACGTGCGCTGAGCGCCAGCTATCTTTGAACGAGCTTTTCGAGGATTTCCAGACTCATAGGATCCTCAACCTGCAGCACAAGACTTTGTGGATAACTGGTTAATGTCGACCAAAAAGGAGCTATGGGGCTGGTTCATCATACGGTCAAGGAATTCTTGACGCAGAAAGAGGAAGCAGAACTTTTCATCGATTCGTCTAAAGCGAATGAGGAGATTTTTACCAGGTGCTTGGCGGTGTTGAGGGAGTCAGGAGTCAGAATTCGGATCAAAAGTCAGGGATGTGCGGGGTTCCTGCGGTACGCCTGTCTTTCCTGGTCAACACATCTGTCCCGGGTAGAAAGCCTTGGTCGACAGCCTCTACGTGACCTGTCATCTTTCTTTCAAAGCCATGCTATTCTTGCATGGATAGACGCAATTGGGATCTGTGGAAACCTACGTGCCTTAACGCAAGCTTCCAAGCATCTGACAGGGCTTCTCGAAAGACAGCGTACGCGAGATGCAGAGCAGAACCCGATAACACTACCTTTAATGAAGATGGCAATCATTGCCTCATGGGCGATAGAACTGATCAGAATTGTCGGAAAGTTGGGCCACCACATCGTTCGGCACTCCAGTGCTGTACACAGCCTCATCCCAGCATTTTGCCCGTCCCTGTCCATAATGGCCAAGCAGTGTGCACCGAAAGGCCCGTCCGCGATGAGCATTACTGGAATCACAAACCCTGGATGGGACGACTCTTCAGCAAAGTTCACCGTCGGTTCTGGCACACATCCGACAGAGATTGCCTGCCTCGACGGTCATTTCGCAATTTTGACCTCCGAGGATGTTGTCAATCCATGGATCTTTATCATGTGTCAACATTCCAAGAAGCACGGAGATTTGGCCACGAATATTTCATCATTGCGGTGAAGTCCAACCAGGACGGCGATAAGGTTGCGACCTGTGGATCGCAAACCATCAAGGTCTGGTGTGTAGCAACTGCGGGGGTATTACACAAGCTGCCCAACCCACTCAACCTGAGGGCGATGGAGATATGCTTCTCGAAGCATTCCACGAGAGTTTTAATCTGCTGCGATGATTCTAGCATTCGTTCTTAGGATACATCTTCCTCGAGCGAACGGCAGCTTGTGGATCGGGATGCCAGAGACGATAACCTCAGCTGGGGCCATGGAACTCCTTCGTACACTACCCTTAAAACCCGAGGGGACTCAGATTGCGATATTCTTTCGCGCAACGCCACTACTGATTAGGAGTACCGAATTAGGGAAGTTGATTAGCACTTGTGAGTGAGTAGGGGAGAAAATGAAGAGCCGGCAAGACGTTTGGTGCTACGCCCAAAAAGTCAAGTGGAACCAATTACGGGGCATATCCTCGGGCTTTACAACGAAGGCGGCGTTTTCAAATGTTATCCCCTTGATTCTGACGCCCAAGAGCCCAGCCCACCTATCAATGCACACGAGATAGCCTGTGCACCAGATGGGAGGACGTTCATCACTGTCACGAGAAACCGTCCTCTCCAAGTGTTGAACTTCGACAACTTCACTCTCCTCTTTTGTTTGAGCTGCGAATCCCCAGTAATGGTAATCACCCTAAGTGTCGACGGACGCCGGATCTACGACCTGACAGAGTCCTATTGGAATGTTTGGGAGCCGAACTCGCTCATTCGTACGGCTGACGCAGATGAGATTGACAGTGAGACATCCGGAACCCTCTTACTCGGCATTGGGCATGGCAAGTAAGCATAATCCTGGTCTTAGTCTGTGTTTCTGTTCGTCCAAAGTCTGTTCAATAAGGCCCAACTATAAGTCGCGACGCTGAGACGCGAAGAGATGATGCTTCTAATCTTGAGACGCAGACCTCTGTTCCGAAACCATTGCGAGAACGTTATCGCCAGCTACCAGATGAAAGCTAGGTATTCAGCCAACTGTGCGTGCATTTCTATTCCAAGCCCGACTTAAAGCGACAAGTTTAAGACCAAACTACGAAACTGCCAAAGTGAGAAAAAGAGAGAACGCAAAAGCGGAACAAAGAGCACCGGAACGGAAATGACCTCCAACCCGGCCATCACATCATTCGTGGCTCAGTCCATCTCCTCTTCTTCGCCTATGATTTCGTCATCAAACTGGTTATTCGAACCCTCTTCGCCTTCCTCATTGGTGTCTCCATCGACAGACCTAGGTGCTTCAGATGTGACCTGCTCTGCCACCTCGTTCGAGTACCGCTCCTCGCCGATGTTGTTGAATTCGTGTTGAGGATGAATCACTGACTTAGACAAGTAGCATTTGTAACACAAATAGTAGTCCGAGCAAGAACCGCAAGTGAAATATATGCCCGAGATGGCAATGAAGCACCAATCACAGATTAAGTTTTCCGTAATTGTGCCCCTCAAAATGCGGTCGGGTAATTGTTGTATTGATGGCCCCCCCATCAGCATGCGAGCAACACTATTTCGCCAAGAAGTCAGTAACTGCATTTCATAGATATGTCTAGAACTCCCCGGTTCAACTGTGTACTGGCCTCGACTAAACTCATCATGGGCCTTGGAAGCCTATCGGACGACGAGAGAGTCGGGCAGCAACAGCTTGTGGTGACTTACCTATCGCTCCGATGATATAGGGCTAATTCAACGGCGCTCCAGTTTCTGTTCAACCCTTTGCCAGAGAGCCCCTTATCAGCCCCTTTCTCAAGCAAAAATGAGACTATGTCTTCTTGTGCCCCGGCAGGATGTTCATCTCCAGAGTAAATGTCGCTCACAGCCCGCGCCGCCCACATCAATGGAGTCCAGCCGTCAGCGTCTGGGACATCTATGCCGATGCCAACCCTTTCAGAGCGCAGCAAGACTTCCCCTAAAAGATCAGTCTGTCCGCTGAGGACGGCGAAATGTAGAGGGACCCGACCGGTCAAATCTTTGGATGCGAAGTCGGAATCCTGGACCTGGAGTAGCCTCAGGACCTCAAGAGAGTTGTAACATGCAACGTGTATCGGTTTCCTGCCCATGTCATCCTTGACGTCGATGGAGGCCTTGTGCTCTAGTAGGCTCTGGACGATTTTCGGCGAGCGGTTCCTGCTGGCGTAGGTGATAGGGTATGCGAACGGGCCAGCGGGAATGGTCGGGTCAGCTCCGCAGTCAAGGAGGAAATTAATCACACTGGCGCGCTCCGTGCTCGACGTGTCCTGGACAGTTCCAGGTCGCCTCGTGGCAGCTACCAAGGGAGTGCCATAGGTGCTTCCGCAGAGGAGGTTTATGTCACTGCCCTTTGCAATCAGCATTCGGACCATGCTTAAGTTGCCTTTGTCACAAGCGACGTGCAAAGCAGAGGAAAGATGTTCGGAGGTGGTGGTGTTGAGGGTATTGACGACAGCCTTTTTTGTCAGCAGGTACCTGACTACTTCTTCGTTGCCTGATTGTATGGCACGGATCAGGGGCATCTGATTAAAGTTGTTTGTTGCAGTCAGCTGGGCACCGGAGTTGACCAAGCGACAAACCGACTCCAAGGGAGTCACGCTGCTAATCGTATGCAGCGGCGAGTCTCCTTCTTTGTCCTTGACGTCAAGATTAGGGCGGTATTCAAGGATTCTGCGAACCAGTGACGCATTATCCTCCCACACTGCGAGGGAGATGAGAGACCATCCGTCGTCGTCCACGAGATTTACGTCTGCGCCAGCCTCCAGAACCCTGGAAACCACCTCTTCATAGCCCCAGCGGACAACATCTTGTAGCGTTTGCTGAGTGGATGGCAATGTAAAATCAGGAGCCACCTGAGCCTCATCGAGCATTATCTTGACGGTTTCCGCCTGGTTCTCCCTCATCGCCCTGTCGAAAGGCGTACGGAGTCCATTGTCATCAGAAGACGCCTTGTTGACGTCTGCGCCATGTCGAAGCAGCACTCGAACGGTCTCGGGAAACTCTACCGCAACATGTAGCGAGGTTTCTTTGTCGTCGGTGAAATGTAAATTTACGTCCATCTCGGTTTCCGCTAAACATCGCACGCTTTCCGTTCGTCCGAAATAAGCTGCCGAGTAAAGGGCGGACCAGTCGTCTTTGTCAGTTGCTTTGAGGTCTGCGTTTTTTGATACGAGGTATTCGACAATTTCTGCGTTCTTCAACGATGAAGCAACAAGCACTGCGACCTGTCAGCCACTATTTCCATAAGCTATAACGAGCACGTACGTGGTGTGCGTTCATATTCTGAACCCGGCGCTTCCTTCTTTTCGATATCGGCCCCATGCTCCACAAGCAGCCTGACCATGGACTCGGCTTGGTTCTGCACTGCTAAAATCAAGGCCGTCGTACTACTCCCGTCGGGAGTAAAGTTTGGATCCGCTTTGTGTTGCAACAGAAGACGGCAGATGTCAGTTCTGCCAGTGCGAACAGCTGGGAATAAGGCCGTCTCGCCATTCAAGTCTGGTTGATTTGGATCCGCCCCGTACTGAATCAAAGTCTCAATCATCTTATAACCGCCATTCCCGGCAGCTATCACCAGAGGTTGAAAAGTTGGATCGGGAGGCATGTGTTCCCGAAGGCCCCTGTGCTGGAGAAGCTCTTTAGCTGCATCCAGCGCGCCCCATCGAGAGGCAACCTGTATGGGTGTTCTACCGACGCTGTCTTGAGCGGTGATTGATGGCTCGCGGTCAAGTAAGAACCTGACTGGGTCCGCGCCACCAGCTGTAGCCATATGTAGGAGCGTGAATCCTTGGAGTTCTGTCTTCGTGTCCAGGTTCGCACCAACATCTATCAATATCTTGGCTGTGTCGAGATGTAAGTTTCGAACAGCACAATGTAGAGGTGTGTAGTTCCACATAAGATCCTCTTCCCCCTTGATATCAGGATCCGCTCCTAGGGACAACAACTTGGCGACAACATCACCCACTCCTAGCCAAGATGCTTGCCTAAGCGCCGCTGATAGCCAATGGATTGACTCCCCAGGCTTCTCCGAGTCCTCGGCACACTTCGCAGATATGTCGCCGCAACGTTGCGCGTTACCCGAATTCTTACCCTCGGAGTTTTCAGCTGTATTTTCATTATCCGTCTCAGTCGTCCCCAAACTTTCTTGAATTTCTGGACTTGTTTGCTCCAGCGATCCTCCACATAACCTTTCTTCGAGAGTTTGACTCTGGACGTGTGGTGTGATTGGTATTGAATTCACCAGCTCCGCCAAAAGCTCATGATTTCCGCATGAGGATGCTGCTTTCACGGCGTCGTGCAGGTAAATGTCGTTATAATCCAGGCCGTGTGTATAGGACTTGATTATAATGCGAAGAGCAGGAAGTTGACCTGCTCGAGCGGCCTCGATCAAAGCTTGGCCCCGAGCTTCGACGTCTCCTTGATGACTTACTAGCAGGGGCTGAAGAAGGTCTTCAAGCCCAAAGTGTGCTGCAAGAACGAGTCGGCTGTCGCTCATCTTGTGCGGCTTTGTGTAGGGACTTGGTAAGGCCATGAAAGCGTGTATCCAGCGTTGTACCTTTTGTGTATTGTCAACGAAGCTTTCCAACAGATTTTCGATGCCAACCGCCTGTTTATAATGGCTGGTCCAGAACTCAATGGCGTATGGCAAACTTGCTTCCCAATCATTTTCTCGGTCAAGTTCATGTGTAAGGTGCGCCAAACACGTTTGTAAGATGTCCAAATGCTGGCTGGACTCCGCTTTTGGCCGATACCACCCTCTGGCACCAGACTGAAGCCAATGACGGATGGCACTATGGCCGAATTTCATCTCATCGTTGACGACAACGAGTATCCCACCAAAGTACCGTCGGATCTCATGAAGAGAGGTGTGAGTGTTTCGTCTTTGTTGGCTCGGGTGCATGCTGTCAACGGATGTCTCAATGAGACAGAGATCCGATACATAACTGAGCTCGAATGATCGTAGTGGTCTGATTGATGAAAGCATCCAAGAGATTATTCTATAAGCCCAGACTTGACGTTCGTTTGGTATTTCAGCTAAAATAGCTGAGAATATCAGGTCGGGAGTGAGTGCTTCAGATTGGGACAGGCGTTGAGGGACCGACCAGAGTGTGGCAGGGTTCTCCTTGAGCCACTGCATCAGCAACTTACATAGATGCTTGTCGCCTGAGCAGCTGGATATCAAAGACGTCACACCACTCAGTATGTCTTCTGGGACGTAGCGAGGATTGTCTTGAAAAAGCATCGCTACCTCCAATCCCACGTCCATCCTCGAAGGCTGAGGGGCAGTGTATTCTACCCTTCTCACAACATCTGGAGGAAATGTTGAAAGGGAGTTCGCGATGAGCTCATCGTTTGGTGATCCTTTTGACGTAATGATGACGAATTGTATGTCTCCTTCCGTTGTCGCCATTTTATGACGGAGACGAGAAAGGAACCACAAAGCTGATTCGTCACATTCGTCGAGACACCCGAGAACTCGAACGGCTCTGGTGCCTTCAGATACTATCAACTCGTTAAAAATATGAATGCAAATGATAAACCACAACGAAATACTTGCCAAATCCATCTTCAATCCATTCCCATGCAGCGTGCATGCTTTCTTTGGTCCAAGATATTTTCGGCGCCCCAACCTCGTTCGCCATGCGCTTGATCAGTCTGCTCGTGTTGTTCGGGCGATTGCAAAGGGCTTGGACCGATAATGTCCCAAGCATAGCCGCAGCGTTACTAAATCTTCTGTCGTGGGAATCAAAGCGGAAGTAGAACAGCATCGCAGGGCTGATGTCCTCAGCAAGAGAGCTTCGTAATCTCTCAGAGACCGATTCGGCATCGCAGGAACATTGAATGTGTATCAGTCGATGGGCCTTTACTTCAGACAACATGGCGAGTTCTGGAATGTCCAAAGATGTCTTTTCTGCAGATGGCGGATATGTGGGCGACGCTTGACTTATCCGCGAGTGGAACAGCTTAATCTCCTCGTCTGAGAGATGGTTTCCTGGAAATGCTGCATGTCCAGTCAATAGATGGTGAGAAGGCCAGCAGCATGACATACCAAGCCAGTCCTCATCGACAGGAATTTGAGGATATGACACATTTGGATCTTCCCGCATGGTCAACTCGACGTGGCGCCTCTCGTCTGACAGTCGAGTCTCATACGCGATGCCAATCTGGGCCGTTGAGGCATCGAAAATCTTGCATGGTCCGAAGTTAGTCTCAGTTACGATGTACCAAGTCTTAGGAACAAAGGAATATAACAACCCTTTGTTGTGGATCTTTGTGAGCAGAAAATAAGTTGACGAGTTTTGCTTGCTTGAGCATGTTGGTGTGTATGAATGCACCATTGACATGTATTATTGTCTCAGCATAGCTGCGCACGAGCCTGTTGATGCGGCCAGGGTGATACTGCTGTTTCTGAAGTGACATAAGTCGGAAAAGTTGTTCTTCGAGGTCATCACTTGTTAGAGGTCGGTGAGGGTAACCGAAGAAAACCTATGTTCATCGACAGTCAGAGCCTTTACTATTTTCTTGGCCTTAAACTTACAATGGCTCTTATAGAGTACAGAATGTCTGAAAATTTGCCTTCGTTCCGGCTAGCAAGAACCAAGGCCTACCTAAAGTCAGTCGCTTCTGAAGCCATATTACGTTTGAAGTATGTCTATCTCACCGCTTTGACAATCAGCCCTCCGATGTCGTGTGAAACGAAGTAAATAGGCCGTCTTTCTGTCTGTATCCAAACGTAGGTTAAACCCCCAAGCAGAAAAGAAACAGTTGACCGGGGGGGATACCTTAGCCGCTGGCTTTCGAATCTCAAAGAGGCTTTCCAACAAAGCAGCTGCCTCTCGATAAACGCCCATTACAGTAGAGCAGCCACCGGACGCTCCGTGAGCATCATAGCCGTACAGGATAACTCTTCCAACATTAGATTGCACACTAAAGGCCTTTGCAAGCCAGGTTTGGTGTGGCAAATCGGGGTTGTGTGCGATCCAAGTATTCCTGCTTTGCCCGTGAAGCCCATGAATACCGACAACGCTGGACAGTTCAGATTCCAGTTAGTCATGTCGACGCATAACAACAAGTTATTTGCAGGATTGAATGAGCACTCACTCGAATCCCACTTCTACGTCGTCGTTATTGGGATCTGGATCGTCGACGGCCACGCCAATCTTGTGCGGGGACTTATCCGAAATCGAATCGAAATCAGCCGCGGTTGAGCAATCCGCAGTCTTTTCTTCATCTCCTCTTTTCTCTTCCCCAAGTTGACAGCTCTGGCTGCTCTCTGCCTGGGGCGTTGTAGGTCGGGAAGCCCCCTCACTGTGTGCGGCTCGGTTGTCATCTATACCGCCTGAGTCGGACATGATGGACGACGTTGAACGAGGTTCTCAGGGCCGGTTCTTAATGACGCATTGGACGAAATATCTTCGATGACTCGAGGGCGTGGACACAATGAATAACTAGAAAGAGCCAGACTCCATGGAAGCAGGCTTTGTTCGCTCCGATAAGCGAGTCGTCGAGCCGTGGTCATTCATGACCCCGCTTGGACGAGACTATGGCTTGCAGCTGACCAGGGTTTGTCTCAATGAGGGATTTGCTGAAATTTGGTAGCTTCATGTACCTAAGACTCGGAGCGAACTATCGGCTGATCCATTTCATTTATTACCATGTGCCACTCACGCGTTCGATCTGTATTAATTACCAGCCACGAACGGAGCCTCCAAGTCCATCCTCACACGACATAGGGAGTATAGATCGACACTGCCTAGATTCTCGGCCCCGTACCTTCTACCCTTTCTGGGCCTCTCGCTCGTCATTCGAGGATTGAAAAGCACGGGATCATCCAACGGTATCTTTCTGAACTTTCGTTCCAGGCCAGATAGGAAATCCACATCAGCCTCAAGTGTGACCCTGGCATGAAATGGCGCGCTATCCTCTCGCCGCAAAAGTACCGCGACAGTGACCGAGTCCGGCACGCCACTCTCTCGCCGCTTGTTCTCCTGCATGTTCCATACCGCCACTGTTGATTCGCCCGAGTTCCGGCCAGTGCCCAGGTTGATGCTGCCAGTCACCGTAGTTGCGTCGGTCACATCCCTGCTGATGGTCTTCTCCAGCTTGGCTGCTGCCCCAGCCTGGATGAGGGGAGCATCCGCAGCGCTCAGCTCGCCGCTCTTCGTGGTGGACTCTTGGTCGGTGGTGCGAATTACGCTCCATCGCTCTTCCGGGGCGATGGTGTCGACTACCGGAGCGCTGCCCTTGTCACCTACGGCTAGGAATTCGACGTTGACAAGGGCTCGGATGACACGTCGGGAGTTCTTCTGCGGATCGAAGCGGAAGCGGAAGACCATCAGCGTTGCTTCGTCGCCATCATCGTCGTAGGTCCCGTGCACAACATCCATCAGGTCGACGCGGGTGTGGATGCTGCCTTGTGTGCGTTCGATGACGTTGCGCCGCTCCCAGTCGTCGCTTGAGTCGTTCGTCGTGCGGAAAGTGCTGTCTTCGCCGATGACAGCGTCGCCCAGTGGCACGTCCAATCCAACGAGAGGCTCGTCGTCGTCTTCGATTATTCCTTGAACGGGCGGTGCTGCCATTTTGAGAAGGCCTGAACTGCTGAGCAGGTCTGCGTTGCAAAAGGAGTGGTTAAGCCCAACACAAAGTCAGTCGAGGGCAGGGCGATCTCATGGTATTTCAATACTCTCTCAACACCACCCAGCGCGTTCGACCCCTCGCTTTATCATCAAGACTCTTTTCGTGACTATTTTGCGATCTCAGCGTGGCGGCAGATCAGGCTGTGCGGGATGTAAGTAGCAGTTACACCTTGAATACTTGCTGTGGGCCGACTGCACGAAACCCGGAGATCTGTCCCTTTTAGGGACTGTCGCTAGATGGTGGTCATACAATCCTGCAAGGCATCCAATAGTTGGCCCTCGAAAGCTCGGGATTGCGCAATATTCAGATGCACCTGAGTCTGACATGCAGATGCCAAGCCTCGGCGGCTTCGATAGAGTACCGAAGCCCACCTTGGCGGAGACGGGGGCGAGCCGAGCCTTGTTCTTGCGGCTTGAGCAAATCGGCTAGACTTATTTTATTGGGTGACCGTCTTCCCTTCTTCATATTACGACATGGCCGTTTCGGCTAGATATGGCATCTTCGTTTCTTCTGCCAAACTACAACATGATGGGTGATCATGATATCCATGGTATGGAGGGTCTACGCGGTGCACCCACTGAATCAGAGGATGTTGAGGACGACTTCGAGGATGAGGAGGATTTTGAGCCACTGGCAGCCAGCGTGACGGACTTCGATCATCAAGATCACGTCAAGTCACAGTTCGAGAAGGATCTCGAGGATGCAAGGAGGCTCTTTCCAAAGAAGCCCGAGACGAAGGAAGAAAAGAAGCAAGGGATGGCGTTTGTGGTTGCGCGGACGCCGCAGTGGCACAGGCGCACATGGGAAGACCAGAATTTTCTGCATTATCTGGCCTACTACGACTACAACCGCAAACCCAACTTGTCATGGTTGATGACCCGTGCCATCTACAAATCTCCGGACTTGATGGGTGTTCTGGACGACACCAAACGAACGCCTCTAACGGCCGCCCTGAGCGTGGGCAACGAAATGTTCACGCATGCAGCTTGCATTAACCAAAAGCCCGAGACCATGTCGCAGCTCACTGAAGCTCTCCGCAGTGAGTGCGCCAACCACAACAACGATCGCAAAACTACAACATGCCTTCATACCGCTTTGACTTCCTCCTTTACCAATTTTAGCAAGGGAAAAGCCCGGGGGGCAATCATCAAGAGGATGTGCGATTTCGTTCCCGAAGAAATGTTCACCGTTGAGGACTTCGAAGGCCGGACGCCGCTCCATTTGGCTGTCGAGTATGAAAGATGCTGTAAGGACCAAGTTGGCATAGTCAACGAGCTACTCCGGCGAGGGCAGCAAGCACTTATGGTCGCGATCACAAGACCATCGTTCTCTAAGCGACCTCTTTCTGTCTATCAGTACCATGAGAAATCCCGAAGGAGGGCCGAGGGTAACACGAAACCACCGGCAGGGCTCCCAAAGAAGCACGCTCAGGGTGCTCTTAGTCAGGCAAAAGACCGCCAGACCGGACCGCCTGATGCCAAAGCAGAGGGCAAGAAGGGCGCTTCAAGGATAGAAAAGGGAAGTATGGGACCTCCACCGTTGCCAAACGACAAGGCTTACGGAGCAGGCTTCGGGATACAGCGGAGAGACTCTATGCCATCTGCCAACTTGAAAGGTACTGAGACACCCAGATCTAATGACCTGAAGTCCAAAGTCCCTGGCCCTGCGGGATTTCCGGAGGCTTCTGCTCGTCCTCCAACAGACCGGGACCTGCAGAACGAAGAACGAGAGAAGGCCGCCCAGCAAATAGGCGAGCAGCTCAAGCTTCATTACCTCCGTACCCAAAGACCAGACCGTGTGGTCCAATTCTTACATGATCCAGAAGAAAGAGGTATGTAGATTATTTTCCCGGTTTCGCTTTCATGGACTGGACTTGGTTCTTAGGGATTGTGCCTAACGCTTGAGAAGATGCCAGGCAGTTGTGGTTTGACTTTGGCGAGCCCAGGAAGTTTACCGAGCGCGACTTTGAAAAGCAATTCCGCCACCTTAAGTTTGATTCTGCCCTGCAGTACGTGGCTTTTCCGCGGGTTCAGTTGGAAGAGAACGAGGACATCTCGGACTCACGTCATAAGGGCCGAAAGGTACGCTTCATTTACCAACATAACCTAGCTCTGGTAGGTACGTAGAGGCTAAGTAACTTAGGACATGACTTTCTATTTCCAGTGGCTCAGAAACAAGGGAGTCAAACGTATTATAAAGGTGGGCTTTAACCTGCAAAGACTGGAGGTCAAGTGCTGTGCCTGGTGTCTTGCATGTCTAACGAGCAGCGGGTTAGGTTATTGTGGACGACCTTGAGGCTCCATCGCACAGCGATGAGGCAATTGAGGACGCACTGAAATCATTTGTAAGTGGTCACATGTATACCGAGTCAAAAGTGTTCCCATTACTTAGCTTTTCCAGGATGTGGAGATCTTGGACTGGCGAAGACTAGATCTTGATCCAGTCACACTTGTTCGAGTAGGGAAATGCCTTCGAGAAATCCATCTCCAGTGGGGTGGAGGAAACCCTGTGCTCAGAGCATGGTCCGAGAAGGAAGGACTGGCTATGATACCCACGTTGGAGACGATCCACCTCAGTCAGGACGAGGTAGGGTGACTGAACATTCCACCTTTGGTTTACGCATGTTAACTGCTTCAACTCCCAGGGTCTCGAATCGGACACAAGAACAAGGGAAAATCTCGATGAATTTGAGAAAAGGCTTTACGAGGCGTGGCCCACCGAGAGGCCAAAACCTCGGGTCATTCGCCCCAAATCGACCGGCGGTCGCCGTCCAAATGGTGCTCACCAATTTTCCATCCCGCTCAACCCGAACCAGGAACGCTCTGTCGACCCGCACAAGTGGATGCAATGCATGGAGGAGTTTGCTTCCTACTTCAGGCAAATCCAAGTGCTTCGGAAGCCCAGAAGCGGCGAATCCCCGGCTCCAGTACAAGTGGCCCTGATAGACGACGGTACCGACATTACTCATCCAGATCTCAGAGGTTTCGAGTTCCCGGGACAGAGCTTCCATCACTATCGGGATGGTTCGACCTGGCGCGTCTCTCCGTACTGGGACTCGAAGTCCGGCCACGGAACGTTAATGGCGAGGCTTATTCTCCGTGTCTGTCCCAGCGCCACCATTCATGTTATTAAGCTGCAGACCTTTCATGGGCAAGGCTCCAACAAACTTCAAATCCGCCCTGAAAGCGCGATACAGGTGAGACCATCCTAAACCCTTTGGCTCTCTATTCTCCATCTCTAACCCAAATACCCAGGCCGTCAAATACGCAGCAGAATTAGAAGTCCATATCATTTGCACGTCATGGACGATGAAACCACCAACGGAAGACGCCGTGAAAAAAGGCTTTGACGACGTGATCCACGACGCCCTCAGCAACAAGGGCATCCTCATGTTCTGCGCGGCCAGCGACCAGGGGAAATCGGCTGACCTGACGTACCCGCACAGCAGCCACAACAAGAGCTTCAGGATCGGCGCGGCAAAGGCCACGGGGGCCATCGTGAACAACGTCGGCGACACGCACGAGCTGAACTACATCTTCCCCGGCCACGAGGTGGCCATTGGGGATGTGTACGGCGTCAAGGGCCCGGAGCTGGAGGGCCACTCGGGAAGCTCCGTGGCCAACGCCCTCGCGGTTGGCCTGGCCGCTCTCATCATCGAGTGCGTCCGGCTAGGAGTCTTTCACACCGACGAGACGAAGCCAACTGATCCGACCGTGGCCATTTATAAAGAGGACCTGGAGAAGATACGTGAACGCGGACAGATGGACCTCGCGTTGGCGTCAATCGGCACTAACCGGAATACGGAAAACAAGTACATAGAGGTGTGGCATATCTTCGGCCGCGCCGCGGAGAGGCTGAAGCATAATGTTGATCAGACATCACAGTTGGAGGTTATTGCGGGTTTGGCTAGGCATTTCCTGAGGAAAGGTGTTCTCATGTAACTTAAATAATGTCGGAAGGCTTTCCGTGACTTGCCCTCAGTCGTATACGCGCCCTGTGCGAGTCTGTGTGGGTATGTTTGTATATTCCTCGGTCAAATGCCCTCACTCCCAGTCCCGTCATGGCATGATTCTCCATGCTGAGGGGAGGTTGTCCGGTCTCTGCTCGCAGCCTTGGTCTCCATAATGACCTTCGCAGATCTCCTCCTCCTGCTGTCTCGTTTCCAATATCTCTTCCGTAAGTTCGCTCAAAACCTCCGAGGACACCATCCATCCTCCGCTCCACTTCATCCCAGTCGAGCACAAAAAACTCTCGTTTCCCTTACCAGAACCGGTCTGGAATTTCCGCAACCGGGGGCTTCATGCCTGGCTTTCGGAATGGCCGCTCCAAGTCTTGCCGCCGGGCCCTGGCAATCTCTGGCGTCACCTGACGGGACCCCGTTGCCTGAGAACCCCTTCGAGGTCGTCCGGGCTGACAAGAAGGTAAAGAACTTCTCACCGAAAGTGCAAGAACAAGAAGCAGACGACGTCAACTCCTCTCCGCCCGTGGACGGAGTCGCCAGGCCAATCTAAAGCGATGTACCGTGCTTGTTGGATGGGCAGCCGCCAAGACAAGATACCGCTGTCGCTGTGCTCGACTGACGCAACGCGGAACCAGCTTTTGTGCAAGATGACGAGATCTCGAGAGCCATCGATGAAGCGGGACGGGATGTCAACAACCATCGGCGCCTGATATCCGCAATGCCTATCTGCTGCCATGTCTCTTTCTTCATCTCCATGACTTGACCACGGTCTGGGATCACCTTGCTCGATGCGGCCTTCCAACATCACGGTGAAGAGTTTGGTCCGGAAGTCCTCGTCGTTTCCATAGAGTTCGAGCGTGCGTTCCGGGCCCCAGGCTTCTCGACTCCGAAGCACGGTCATGCAGAAAGCCCGGCAGGTCTGCAGCATGGCGTTGTGCGCCGTTGGGTGCAGATATTTCGCGACGTCACGAGGCGGAGCGACGGTTGTGAGACTTTCCAGCGTGGGCATAAGCCACCTCAATGACCTCGGTCGTAGCAAACTTTGGGCCAGTTTCCAGAACACGAGCCTCTCGAGGGCGGCGAAGTGGCGGCAGGAGGGCCGTCGAGGGCGAGGTCCCATATCAAATCCTGGATCTCGTTGGGGAGGCGTGGGAAGCTTGGAAACGAGTCTGGCTGGAGTTGGGCAATGCTGTACAGTCTTTTGCGGAAGACAATGATGATCGATTGCTGAGGGAAAGAGGGAGGTTAAGAGCTGAGAGCGGTGAGCAGAGAGAGAAGACGGGCTTCAGCTCGCAGCGGGGGTATCCATAGGTAAGGTACTTATGTGTAGCTGCACCGTGTGCTTTTGCTTGGGGACAAGGTGAACTTCGGCCTACAATATTTCCGTGTTGGCACGGTTCCATGTTATTGTTGGGCCGAGGGCCAAGAGAAGAAGCACACTTCCCACAAGTCCTTGTTCCAACAAGCCTGGATATTAGTCCCGCTTGGCAATGTCTGGATTATGATAACAACATTGTCCAAACATCCACTAACACCAGATGGTACCTTCGGTAACTAGATGCAACCAAGACCTGTCAGGGGTGTTTGAGGGGGTCGCGGAACCAACATGGAAGCCTAAGAGACCGCCGTCTGCCTCACAGCCACCACCATGCACCATCCATTTCCAAGGGCTTTTCACAACCTCCCAAAGTGACAGTATAGCGGACTGGGGCTCTTCAGCAACAGGCACATCTGTCAGCCTATTGCCACCTGAGCCCTCTCTCACACTGCGCACGACAGCAGTTGCAACTACTATAACGAACATATCTACTGTCACTATGACCATCACTAAATACATTCAGTGTCAATCGACTCAAACAATTCCAGTACAAATGCCCACCAACACCATGCCGGCTGCAGACACACACCTTTCGCCCATCAACCTAAACCTTCTGCCGGCGACAGCAACGTCTATGCCTGTACCATCATTAAGAATCAGCTTTTTCAACGCTTTCTCATTGCTGAATGAAACATCCTCTAATACCACTTCAATTTCCAATGAACCATCTGCCTTGTCGCGCCCTCCACTGGGATTCGAGTTCGCCAACCGAGCTGTCTCCAGCTCATATAGAGTATTGACGAACAAGATATGGATCGTGGCAGCCTTCATTACGCTTGATAGTAGTCTTTTGATAAGTTGCGATAGAATTGATAAATTTTGTAGTGTAGTTGACTCAAATCATACGGCGCTTGCGCTGTCTCGGCTCCTCTTCGGTTGCCTGTGCTGATGAATCCCAGCGTCCTTTTGTCCCCGTATCTTTGACTTGGAACAAGGGCTGTTCACTCCAAGCTTGAATGTGCGAACCAACTCAAGTCTAATAATATTGTAGTCCAGCTTATTACTTCCTGTAAGCATGCCGAACATTCTTAGACTATCGTTCTTGATTAAGATAGGACTGGGGCCTCTGGGGTTTTGCTGTTGCGGATATGATTGCTAGATATCTAGAATTAGATGATTTGTTCTCTCTATAGGTAGGCTGAAGGAAGACTAGAGTAATCTGGAGAAGCAGGCGCTTGAAAAAGCGCTGGATGTTATACAAGTTGAGAGGCCAAATCGGAGAAAAAGAGGCTTACTTTAAAAACGGGATAGGGGCGGAATACTTTGTGCTATAAATTTAGCGTATTCCCAATTCTTATATTCCTTGTTTGCTTACCTGGATACTCCTAGTGATACGTTACTTGTCGTGTTTCAAATGGAAGTGGCGGACCTTTTTCTCACGCTTGTTGACCTCTAAGAGGGTGAAATAATTGTCGCCATGAAAGACTGGGAAGAAAGAGACTAAGTCTTCGTCCTGTCCAGGCTTGATACCACTACGCCAGGCGGTGATTTAATCTTTGGCTTCGTCTAAAGAGCATGGCGTCTCCATCATATCCAGGTCTACGCCGGGGACGTGAATTATGCGGCCAATCCGCACACAAGCTGGTTTATCCGCCAAGTGCAATGCTGCCAGAATAGCGGCGTGGGTCAAGAGAGTCTTGGAATGGAGGCTCTCGAAGTGGTCTGTAGAGATTGGAATAGCAAGATAGCTATCTCCGCTTCTGAGAATGAAATCCTGGCGTAAAACATGTTGATTGGCAGCGTTGACCAGATCAACTACTTGGTCGTCTAACTAACTGCAGCTCACGGCTCTCCAATGCATCATTCGAGCTAGATCTTCATGCCCACTCTGAAGATCATCGACGAAGTCTTGGATATTCGTTCTGCCGTGTTGTAAGAGCTGGGTGAATTGACGACCAAGGTGTTTGATAACGGCCGACTTCTTGTCGTCATCGCGTGTAGCTGCGGTTGAAGCACTCAAGGCTTCATTCGTAGACTTCGCCAGTTCCCTCATGTGGACGGGTCAGTCATTGCAGTTACTAGGTTGCACGAGACATACTATATATCTCTGACGAACAGGATGCCGTATCCGAACTCTTCGGCGAGGTTGAGCAGCTTGCGGCCCCGTGTGAGCCGAGTATTAACCAACTTTCGCTGCTTGCCGATAACATGGGGCTCGTCGCTTCGATTTAGAATCTGTGAAAGAATACGTCTACGACCTCCGATGAGATCGTTTTCTCCTTCTTGTCGGGGTATAGCTTGCTCAGCGCTGAGGTCTGACTTTGATGCCATCGAGCAAACCCCATCAGTTCGGCCATGTTGACATTCGCGACTCTTTGACGCTCATCGCTTCCTGTCTCCAAAATCGTGAACCATGTCGCTCCATTCGTTGGCTTCGGATCACAGTCTGGCGAGTTCAAATCGTTGAAAATCATCTGAATAGTCTCCTGGGAGTTCCCAATGTGTTCTTGGCTGAGCCCCTGAATGACCTTCAACAACTCGATAACGAAGTCGGAGATGTCTTGGCTGATAATCCTCATGTTTGTTTCTCGGTTTGTTGGAATTGTCATAGATTGAGCCTCCTGTGATGATGTGTACGCAGTGTCGTCGACTTGCGACTCGGTAGTGCACACGTGGATGGTGTTGTCAGACGTCCCTGGCAGCGATGATCCCGGAGTGTCGGGTTGTGACCGGTGATCGGCGGTGAACGCTTCAGGTGTCATTTAGCAATGAGCCAAACGGCAGATGGGCGTATTGACCCGGGAAGTTTGACTTGCTTCAGGGCTTGGGTATTCAGCCACGTACGCTGCGGGCGTGCTCTCACGAGACGCCTGGTCGGCATCAGGCTGGTCGTCGTCAGATTGCTCGGCATCAAATTGATCGGCGTCAGGCCGGTCGGTGTCAGACTGCTCAGCATCAGGAGCTTCAAGGCTTGTGTGACTTGCTCCAGGACTACTGCTTCGAGAAGGCAAGCTGGATCCGGTATTAGTATTCTCAGGCGAACCGGCCTGCGGGAGCTGAGTCTCTTCTGGACGGGAGACCGACTGACTCGGAGTTAGGGAGTTACTGTTAGGGTCCTTAGGCGAAACGGCTGGCGAGACTTGAGTCTCTTCTAGGCTGGTGTCTGGAAATGAAGGATTAGTCTCAGCCGGCTCAGGCGTTCCAGCTCGGGGCAAATGGTAAGCTACTGATCTAGCTACTTCCGTGGTATGAGCGGTTGAGTCGACCAGTTCAGGGGCCGGAGCAAGAGATGTACTACCCCGCAGGTGAATTTCGTCGACAGTTTGCGAAAACTCCAACTCCTGGTCTCTGGCAATTTTTCTTTCTTCCCTTCTAACTTTTTCTTCGCAGTTTGCCGCCTGGAGGCGCACCTTGTTGACTGCCGTATGACTCTCACGGGGAAATATTCGAGGGCCAGGATGGCTTACAGAGAAACCTCTGGCAAATATGGAGTTGCTGCTGTGATCCTGTATAGAAATGGCGAGTGTAGATGTCTCCTGGCCTTCCTCGGAACACTCGAGAACGGCAGACGGGAATGGATTAATCTCGGGGCTGGAGGCCGGGGTAGTCGGCAATTGGGAAGCAGCGAGCGCCAGAGCGCCCAGAGCTCTTCGGTCTTCGGT